AGGGGGGAGGTGGGAAGTAGAAAGGCGGTGAGGTAAGGAATTTTACTGTAATTTAGTTGTAAATCATACAAAATAATATACAATAATACACATAATTTATTAATTATTATGCAGTCGAAACTGTTTAGGACAGCTATCCAATGTCGAAGCAAATTTTGATAGTTTTCATTTTTGTGTGAGTGTTATGAGCGTGCGGGACACACCAAACAATTTCAGTTGGCATGAAATTTTGAATTTTGTCCGGGTGGCAGCCTAAGCCTACTCTTATCGATTTTTAGACCACCAAGGGATCTTTAACCTTCATAATTTGCACACGGACCTCTGGGATTGACAGTTTTCGACAGGTGGACGTCTTACAAAGCATCCCATTGATGCATTTAAAAAAGACAATTAAGTTTTTGTAACAAGCTATCCTGATTTAGGTTTTCTCTGCTATGACTTTTAAAAAAATCCATTTTCATTGTAGAGTTCCCTTGTGCCCTAACTTTTCTTCGGATGCGGTGTTTTGAATCTCTGCGTGCATTTATTCCTAAAAGTACATGGTATTCCATATTGATTTAGGACTCTGAATACCGTCTCTTCAACAGACGTAGACGTAAGCTTACCTTGTCGTTCCGAGAGAAGGGGTCGAGATACGTGTTGCCGAACGACTTGTCCTCAATGTCCGCCGGGTAGTTGTCCAAGCCGGGTACCTGTACAATGGACACAGGAAAACAAGCACTTTTTACGACTCCTTTCGGCTCCCTCACATTAACTAAGTAAAACACTTTCTTTTCTTTTTTTTTTTTCTTTTTTTTGGGGGGGGGGGGATTCTCAAATTCCATTATTCACAGACGTTATTTCGTTTAGTGATACTACATTGATGTGCAAAAATAAAAAGACAACAATTCTTTAACATGAAATTAGAATAAAATTAAAGGCCCAAACAGTTTTGAGCAGTTCTAGCAAGTTCATAGAAAGAAATTACATTATTGTTCCTTTTTATTGGGGGGGTTGAAAATCTATGTTTATTCGCATTTACGTTTATAGCTGAACATGGATGGACAATTAAAAATAAATTTTTACTCCACCC